ACTCAGTTGGAGGCAACAATTTTTTCTCTAGATTTATTTTTAAATTTCTTTTTCTTCAAATGAGAAGATAAACTGAGGGAAGTTAATCAAAGGCGCTAGTAGTTTAGTTTTTTAAATTAAGTTTAGCACAACTAAAAAGGTGAAGCCTCATTAAAAAGCTTCGTAAACAGAGTATTACGATGAGTCTTTGGACACATAAAGATGCAAATAGCGGGGAATGGAGAGTGAGAAGCAACAACGAAATTCATAATCTGTTTAAATAACAATTGATCACTGACATCTTGAGATCTAATAGACTGAAATGTCTTAGGCATACTGAGAAAATGTCAGATAACAAAGAAGTAAAAACTGTATACACAAGGGATCTGAATAGTCGTAGACTACGAGGCAGACCAAGAAGTCCGTGGAGTTATAACGTCCGGACAGGTCTGCAAATACTTGGTGTCACCAACTGGAAAGAGAAGGCCAGCCAGAGATAAAAGTGGAGGTGGGTGATATCTGCAGCAATGAACCTCAAAGGCTCGGAAGGCTGAAGAAGAAGAATAATCAAGTTCAAACCCCAGTAAATGTTTTTATTTAAAAAAAAAACTCTATGCCTAATTCTAACGTTGCACTCATTTTCAATGAAAAACACCCAAAGTTATTTCAGCTGCTGTTGAGACTTGAGAATCTTTTCTTTGGGTATATGTGAGTGTATTTATGTGTGTATGTATGTGTATGTATTTATGTGCGTGTATGCGCGAGCGCGTGCGCGTGTGTGTGTGTGTGTGTGACAGATAAACATTCTTCATTCATCGTTAATCGCCATATTGATTGTGTGTCGTCTGTAATTAAGTTTGTCAGCTGGAAATGAAATGAACCCCATTTGGACCACGCAACAAGCGATAAACACCTAGTGAACTAAAGTCAGTTCATCTGTTGTTGGTTCAAAGTGATTATATTTATCGATGCAGTGCTGATTGCAATTGTTTTTGAAGTAACGTTGGGAGGAAATTATAGTAACAACGTCCAGTTAGAGAGCAATGGCGCAAGTAAGTATGTTCACGCGCGCGCGTACGCACACGCACACACGCACTCGCACATACACACGCACGCGCACATGTACAAACATTTAATCAATTATGTTCACATTGTATCGAAGGGATGACATCAGTAACGCCTTCGTCTACTTTCTGCTTTTTTTAAGTCCGTTTGTTTAAATTTTTTTTTCGACTAAAGAGGCAATTGCGTTGTACCTGTTTACAACATACTGCGATATTTGCGCCTTTTGGCCAACATCTCCAGGCATTTATTATCTGTGCTAGAGCTGGGTGTGATAATTTTAAAATATGTTAACCACCAGATGGCTCTAGTGGAGACACAGTCTTGCCAAAGCGAAAACTTTCTGGAATGAATATACTGACCACACCGTATGTGTGGCACCGTGGGTAGCAAGTCTCCTTGAGGCCAATTCATTACAGTTTCGAGTCTATGTCTATATCACACTGGTATAGATTTAAAAAAAAATTGAACATGGTTTTCAAGAAGTGACAAACTAGAAACATAAACTGAATGAAGGGAACTTACTTGCACATATACAGCAGTTGTATTTGTGCACATTTTTTCTGTTCCCTCTGTTGAAGTCATAGTTTGTTTTCAGTATTATACTTATGTGTATCAGTCGGACTGCATTTACTCTGTTTGCGTCATTGGCTTCACTCCCAGTTCAACAGAGCCTAAAAATGAGTATCAAGAAAATTTATGTTGAGTAAAATCCTGAATCAAACTTCGATTATGTATACACAATGGTGCTAATACCATGTCAGAGTCGACAGGTAAATCAAAGAGTGGCGTTTTTCACAAATATGTGATATTTCTCTGTCACAACAGATGCGCGGAGGCCAGATGTTGTGTCTTACGTAGACTACCACAAGATGGTCAGTATCATACCTTCCTATTCAGGGCCTCACGGCTCCAGGACTGGAAACGCCAGCAAGGGTCACTCGTGTGCACATGTCCGACAGGTTCCGTCCAGTCTACGAGTCTCCTGGGTCTTCAGGCCGTCAGGGATTCAACAGTTCTATAGAAAGTACACAGAGGCATATGGAATACCTGTGATAGGTAAGTAATTTTATTATAAAGTTCCTTAATGTTTTATCAAAAATATAATTAAGGTGAAATTTTCAACTAATCCGTATAAAGCAGAGTTTTAGCTGGTAAGTCATTCTAGAGTTAGCATTTATAGATTAGCATAGTGATAGATCGGCGTATTGCTGACCACATTACCCACAGAGTGCTGATGGTCTGTAAAAATATGGGACGCTCTGCCCATATGCCCGATGCTCCGAAAGGCGTGAAAAGGGATCTTTACTTTACTTACTTTATTATAGTGATAGATAATGCATGCTCCTCGGACGGTGCTGTAGACCCGTACCTTCTATGGCTAGGCTGCCAGTGACTGAAGATTAGAAACTCATTAGAATGTTGAATGTTGAATTGAGAATCGACATCACAGCACTCGGGACACTCCCATAAGCGCTCCGTCCCCATCTTCAGCAGCAAACGAAGAGTTAAAATTACGATGGTACCAGTAACAGTCTGATTGCATATCAGTCTCGCCCCTCCCCCGAGTGTCGAGCGTCGGCCAGATCCCCTTATAACTCCTCGCAGTGCCATTATCCTCAGACCGTAATGATCTATCTGTTCCTCGTTACTGTTCACTTGCTCAAAAAGGGCCCTCACAACATCCAGCTTGTCATATATCAGTTCACCACCAAGTGGTGCAAAACCGGCTAGTCTATTCACCTGCTCATTTCCCAACACACCGGCGTGACCTGGAGAAAATATCAAAAAAATGCTAACAACCCGGGATCTCTGAAATGATGCTTGCCACTCTGCACTGAGCATGCCTGTCTCCACCTTTCTCAGCATGCCCTGTGAGTCAGTTACAATAACGACATGTGTGTACAGCTGATTCTCAAGCCAACGGAAGGCAGAAGTGACTGCCGCCACCTCCATTCTAAAACTAGACGTTGTGATATCCTATGCCAGGTTTTGTTGCACCAATCGACGTCCATTCGCCTTCGCTTTGAACCCCCATGCACTTCGTCTGCCATTCACCACAGAGCCATCTGTATATACAATCACATCACTTGGGCGGGAATTGTCATGAATCATTTGTTGAGCTTCTGATTCTGCAGCACCAGCTGGCCAGTCTCTGCACTCACGTCCCAAAGTGATTAGAACCCTACACAAGTCTGAAACATGATCGGACACCTTGACCCACTCCTCTTCTCGCCTAAATTTATCAAGCCTGCACACATGTCGAATTGTATCGAAACTCATTTAAGTGCCACCGACAAAATTAGCCATGAATTTTTAAGAGCGCAATCATGTCATTTAAAAACACATGAACTCAATCCATTTTTCGGATAACAGAGCAGAAGTATTGAGCCGAGCACATCTTCAAAGAAAACAGCTTAAGATAACAACAAATTGTCACAAAGCAACTAAGGTCTTTCGTAACGGACCGTTGTACAACATGTATTGCTGAACTTTCATGACAGATAGTGGACGAATAGTCATTTGTCTTGTGTCCTACTTGGCTGCGTTATATCTTCTTCTTCTTTAGCATTATGAGCCCTTGTGGAGGTCAAAACAAATTAAAAGAAATACTAAACTAAAAATTTGACTGACTTACTTTCTACTGCACCAGGACATCACACAAGCGATAAACACCCGATGACACAATGTACCACCTTGTGGTTGAGGATCACCGTGGGGAGGTTCCAGACACCGCGTTCAGCCTTTAGGCCACATTTATGGTCAGGCTATATTGCGGCCCCTGGCAAGAGCCAGAGTAGGGCTTCAAAGAACGAACAATTTTATCCTGAAATGGACGCGAAGTTTTATATGCTAAAAATTTTTAATTCTAATGTCAAATCAGTACTTTTGTATGGCGCGGAAACATGGAGAACAACTAAGGCAATTACTAATAAATTACAGACATTCATTAACTGGTGCCTGCGAAGAATAGAGGGAGTTAAATGGTATGATATAATAACTAATGTGGAGCTTTGGGAGAGAACTAAACAGGCTCCAGTGGACCAAGAGGTCAGGAAAAGACGCTAGCGTTGGAAAGGACACACACTGAGAAAACAGGAGAACAGCATAACTAGAATGTCTTTGCATTGGAACCCACAGGGGCAAAAGAATAAAGGAAGGCTACAAACACACAGAGAAGAGAGCTGGAGAATGAAGTTAGAAAGATGGGGAGGACATGGGGAGAGCTCCATGTAATGGCGAAGGATATAACGACTTGGCGTGAGTTGATTGAGGGCCTATGCTCCATTGGGGGATAGAAAGGCAGAAGAAGAAGAACTAAGATCTTTGGTAACGGACCGTTGTACAACAGTTATTGCTGAACTTTCATGACAGATAGTGGACGAGTAGTCATTTGTCTTGTGTCCTACTTGGCTGCGTTATATCTTCCTCTTCTTCTTTAGCATTCCGAGCCCTTGAGGTTCATTGCTGCAGATATCACCCGCCTCCATTCATCTCTCTGTTTGGCTCCCTCTTTCCAGTTGGTGACACCAAGTGTTGTCAGGTCTATTTGGATATTATCTCCCTGTCGACTTCTTGGTCTGCCTCGTGGTCTACGACCAATTATCTCCCTGGTGCATACAGTTTTTACTTCTCTGTCATCTGAAATTTTTTCAATGTGTCCCAACTATTTAAGTCTATTAGCTCTCATGATGCCAGTGATCAACGGTGATTATCAATTTCGTTGTTGATTCTCACTCTCAATTCACCGCTGTCTGTATCTTTAGCGTTATATGATGAATCAAAGTGTTCTCAGTCATACACTATTCACAATATAATTACACCACATTATGACACCAAAATCTTTTTTTCCCCATTTTTTTTAAAAATCATACTCATCATTACCATCACACTTTTCTTCTTTTTCCGCTTCTTCTATAACTTATTGACTGTTTAATTTAATTGATTTGTTTCTACAGGCAGTAGAGACGTCCCAGACGATGCCCTAAAGAGGGCGTGTTATGTTCTCCGTTTTTTAATGGCTGATCATTCCAAAATCCGACAATCATTCTATAAGCTATACGGCCGGATTGCGGTCATTGGTTTGAATGAAAACGTGACAGACCTGCCAGAGTACAGTGCTCTGCCTCCAGACATAAACTACAGGGCTCGTGGCCTGGGACCCACTGAGGCTGTTCCAGTTGTTTCCGGAGCCGAAGAAAATGTGCTGTGTTACAGGTGAGACAAACCATGCACAATAAAATACGAATACAGTGATAAATCTATACAGAATCTGGTACATAGATTATAATCGGAAGTCTTCGCTCTGTCTGCTGAAGGTCAGTGTGATACCGTAGAAAATAATGTTCAACATATATTTAATTGTGACACAATCAATTCCATCGTGTGTATTTGATTCCATATTCCTGGGTCTATCTAGGGAGATCAACCGATCAAACGCTACAGCCTTCCACAAAGTGCTGACTTCCTAGCTCTAGTAATGATCTCAAGGAATGTAGCTAAACAATAAATTCAGTTCTTTTATCGGAAATAGATAATCAATTTTCTTTGCAATTTTCATGACAGAAACATTGAGATCCCGGGTAGCCAATATTTCACACCAGTAGTACTCGGTAAGAGGCATTTTCTAGGAACTGTCTGGAAATGCAAAAGCGGCCAAAAACAAAACCTGGCCTCCGTGTCTCATTAAATGTTGGCCTAAAATTTTTGAAAGCTGAATAATTCACATTCCGACGGTAGAAGGCGATACTTTATTGTAGTTTCTCAAGTGTAAGCCTTGTTTGATAGTGACAGACTGACAGTGTGTATTTAAGAACAGGACGCTGCCCATCTAGGTTAGTAGGCAAGTCATCAAGTAGGCACAGGTATCTATTTATACTTATCGCAAGTGTACACACGACTATCGGGTATGTTTTCTGTAGCATGTCATTGCTTTTTCTTTCTTATGCATCTAGTACATCAATCCGGTTTTTCTGTTTATAATACTTTCTCAGGCTTCTATACTTCAAAGTATACAACCATAGAAATGGACACGTTTTAAAAAACAACTACTGAAAGAGTTAAAAATATTAGCTGTGGCAGTAGGAGAATAACTAATGACATGGAATTAGGTACAGCGTTATAAAAAAATAGCTAAGGCGTTGCGAGTCCGACTCGTAAGCCAGCATACCGCGATCGAAACCCACTGCAGGCTGCGTGGATTTTTATCGTGGTATGGGACGTCGCAGGTCGACCCAGCCTAAAATGGGTACCAGGATGGGCTGTCCTGGGAAAGTAAAGACAGCCCGCGTAATGCTGACCACATTACCACAGAGTGCTGATGGTCTGTAAAAATATGGGACGCTCTGCCCATATGCCCGATGCGCCGAAAGGCATGAAAAGGGAACTTTACTTTTTTACTTTTATTATAAAAAAAACATATTCTTTAGGAAACTGATAAAAATTAAATGTGATGTACTCAAGAAAGGGAAGGCAATAGTAGAAATTACTGGACAACAACAGGTTTCAATAGTTATAAGAGAGAAGTAGACAGAGAATCACCTTTTTCTTTCGATCAACGTCTGCTATGCGTCTATTCCAAAATTGTTTTAAACAAAGACGGTGGGCTGAAGGTACTTACCGGTACCCCACAGTTTGTCTCGTAAGGACGCTCATGTTGGCCAGATTTGTTTATCACCAAACAGGCACTGAAACGGGAAACACGTAGACTGCGGACGTAAGGACACTAACAAATAAATCTAGACGAATTTTGACAAGAGAGGCGAACGGAGCTCAACCGGGTTACATCTAAATCGAATAAAGTACGAGGAATAGCTACTTATCATTCGTTTGTTAGTTTCAACTGATATTTTTTTTTCTCCAAACATTAGCGACACTCATTCACTTGTCTCTCTTTCTTTCTCTCTCTCTCTCTCTCTCTCTCTCTCTCTCTCTCTCTCTCTCTCTCTCTCTCTCTCTCTCTCTCTCTCACTCTCTCTCTCTCTCCCTCTCGATCCCACTTCTTACTTAAATTCTTTTTACCTAAATCTGCATTTTTAATCCAGTCTGCTTTAAGATATTTTAAAAAGCATACAGTGATATTTCCAGGTAAGTTATCAATTATCAACAAATACATTCAAAGAATGATAATTCGGCTCGAAAAAAAAAGGTTTTCACTTGAATGTAAACCACCAGTCAAACGTTAATGAAAATGAATACAAAATAAGCTGAAATGAATGTAATTTAATATAACAAATAACTAAAAACAAAAATAGTGAATGTGTTTCTGTCAGTGCGTGCGTGTATTTAAGGTGTGTGTTTGTGTGTGTGTATGCGCGCGCGCTCAAGGCGCCAATTACGAGGGGTACTTGTTTTTTAATCTACAAGTGTCGAAGTATTTTTACAGCACGCTACATAATACATGGACCATTTCGACGTTTTCCTTGAATTCATGATGCCATGATCAGAAAGCAGGAAGCCACAGTTATGTAGCTGCTAGACGCTTGCTTACGGATCTGAAGGTCGTGAGTTCAGGTCCTAATGGAGCTAGACTTAAAAAAATGATCTTGGCTTCCAGTTCGACCTAGCCTTAAATGGTAACAAGGTAAAATTCTGGGAAGTAAAGGCAGTCATCGTGATGCTGCTGACATCACCCACCTAGTGCCGATTGGTCTATAAAATATAGGGCTTGTCCAAAATGCCCACAAGACCTGAAGGCACGGAACATACTTCCTTTTATTAACAGAGTGGCGTATATAGACTCGGAAACTATCGTAGCGGAGATTGTTATACCTGATCCGGGCCTTTAGGTCGACCCAGTCTATAATGGTTACCTACAAAACTCACGGAAAGTCAAGGCGACCGGCATGTGTTGATGGCATCATATATAGAGTTATATATAGCCTTTTCAAATACGTGCCCAGAAGCATATGCCCGATTCTCTAGTGTTGTGAAATGTTCGCCTACGTTATTTGTGAGCTCTTAAAGTCTGACACAATGTATGCGTGCATCTTAATTTTCAGGGAGGATCGTTATTTGGGGGAAGATATACTTCTACACGAGGCTGCCCACGGCGTCCACACGGCAGCTCAACGTGAGCTTTCAGAATGGCAACGTCGGCTAGTGGAGTCTTTCAGGAAGGCTAACGCTTCTGGTCTTTGGAGCGACACTTATAGTAGTACGTCTGTGGAAGAATACATGGTATTTTGTTATTACATAAGTGGCGTAGAAGAGAATAGAGTTTGCACTCACAGTCACTAAAATCATGTGTCACCTTCTTGACGCCAAGTGGTTATCGTTACAATGAAGTCAATTTTATATGTTTACCCATCTCATTTCAAACTTTTCCAACCATACTACATCCAGTATCAAAAATAATTTCTTCGCTGTCTCAACAGACTTAGGAAAAAGAAACTGAGATTTAGACAGATATTTTTGTCAGCATGCCCAGGCTGAGAGGACTATCATACTTCAGGGCTTACATGAAACAACCTGAAAAACTGATATCTACCAATTAATATTGTGTTGAAGTATATGTTTACTAATGCAGATAGTACACAACGTAGTGTAGTATACCAAGATGCTGACATATCACATAGGTAGTCATGCATTGAAATCTCTATCTAGCTCAGCCTCTTGTCGCGATAAAATATTTTCGCGGCAGTTACCTTTGAGGCACTTTGAATATTTAGGAAAAGAAGAAAACACATTGCAAATTTAATGTTTAATTGTCTTTAACGAGATAAATGAAACTGGATGAATTGTTCATTATTTTCCTAATGTTTATGGGAAGTTTAGTTAATTGCATCCACATATCACTTGACCCAAAAGTTTGCTCCTGTATCTGTTTTTTATGTAAGCTATCGTTGATAATGCAGACTCACAGAGATATCTTGACGTAAAACGCACAAGTCTTTTCACTAAAGCCTTGCCAAAGGAATTGTTTTTTGAATACATCTGAATCCAAAACTGTTCTTGGCTTCCTTCACGGTATTTCTGTTTTAAACTGCTGTTTCCCTTCACAATGTAGCAGGCGGAGCGGGGTGGGGGGGGGGGGGGGGGGGGGTTAGGGTGAGGTGTTTGACACTGAGCGCCCCCGCCAACCCCCTGCCCTCTCTCGATGTTTTGTTCACGACAACGCGTCGCGCACCAAAGATCCTCGGAGAGGCATTAACGCTATTCTGCACAACAAAATATATGATGCTAGGCACCGAAATCTGGGAGTTCACAAACCTCATATTTGTAAAAATCCGCTTAAGAATGATCATCTGTAAACAGCTGAGCTGGCGAGTCCCCGAACATCAGAGCCAATGTGATTAGAACCCTTGACAAATCTGTTGCTCGCCATACTGATCCACTCATCTGCTCACCAAATATCTGCAAGCATGCAAACATGCTTAATTGTTTCTTTTGTCTGCGCCATCCAGGACTTGCCTCCTCTTAATGTGTGACCTTTAGCAGTGCTTAGTAACCTTTTTGTTGTTGTTGTTGTTGTTTTGTTGTTGTTGTTGTTGTTCCTTTTGGTAAGGGGGGGGGGGAGGGAAGCGAAACGCCCGCTCTCTTGGAAATATTACCATTATCATGTGCTATGCCAAGAAGCATAGCCGGTCATCAATCGCCATCCTAATCATTTAGCTGTCATGGATAGAGTGATGCTTTTATACCGCCCCATGTATGTTGCCAAACCATCAAGATACTTACCTCTTTGATTCCCCTTTGTCGTCTTTCTATCAACTTCACCAGTTGTCACCAAATTCTCGAGTCTATTCCTTGCATTGATATAGGCCTTGTGTAACAGAACAAACGTAACAATCTACGTGCCATTTTGTGGCGAATTGTCCTTCAGCCAACACCTTACAACATGTTCTGGTCTGCATATGTTATGGTATTCTCTCCACTTCAACCTCATAGATTGTTTCAAGAGTGTCTTTGAAGGTTTAAAGCTTTGAAAGACGCTGCATGAGTTTTTTTTTCTTAAAATCTATGCTTCAGCAGATGGTTTGGAAGCCTCTTAAGCTTGTTAAACTTAGTAAGAGATTTGCACTGTCTTTGAAATCAAGAGAACTTATAAAGAATAGTTTTCTTAAAACAAAAAAAATCTACAGGAAAAAGTGGCGGAGGGGTGTGGGAGAGGGGCGGGGTTTGTCGGGGGAGGGTAGGGGTGTCACCCTGCTCCATGTTTGAATCTTGTACAGATTGCAGAAGTTTATTTTCACTGCTTCAGCCAATGAGATTAAGGTATATTACCCTGCTTCAGTTTAGGCTCGCAAATTTGTTTTTGTACAGGCTACCAAGTAGGTTCCATCCAGTTTTTTTATATTTTTTTTATTACAGTGAGTGTTTCTATGCCTTTTGGTTTCATTTTCTTCTTCTCTGAAGTCAGGCTTCCTAGTTGGCCTGGTATCTAATGTCCTCCCTTCATAGTGTGCCAACGATATCGGACCAAGAAGTGCAGTGGGGGAGGAGACTAGCCTTACTTATGCGAGGACGAGGAAATGAAGTATGAAAACAATGTTATGGCAAGGCAGACCAAATCCATAATCGTGGCTGGTAGCTAGTTGGTCTGTGATAGAAGATCCGATAAACGGACAGAAGGAATAAATGCTTTCTACAACAAATTTTTTAGAGCAGGGTTGACTCAAGCCTAGTTTAACTGTACACAACAATTATTATTATTATTATTATTATTAAAAATTATTGTGCAATCAACCAAGGCTTAGCCCTTTGAATTCCTCGCTTCTATAAAATTATAGGCGTAAGTCTTGTAATATTGCCTAAAAATAATAATACTTATTTTTACAAGCTGAATGCTAAATAAAAACTAATATTTTTATTCTTCTAATCAAAATAATATCAAATATTATAACACGTAGATTGGGGACGTGAGGACACCAAAAATAAATCCAGATGAATGTTGACAAGAGAGTAAACGGAGCTGAACCGGGTTCTATCTAAATCTAATACAGAACTCGGGATAGCAACTTACCATTCGTTTGTTTGTTTCAACGTCGTCTGTTTTTTGTTGCAAGTGAAGGAGGTAGGCTTTGTTCCTTAAAAATTTATTTTTAGGCCCAGCAAGCCCTCCCTCATCCATCCCCCGATAATTGGGTGATGCACTCAAGGTACCCAATCCCCTAGTCCCCGCCTCTATTGCTGATACATGTATACATAAATACAGTCTCCGTTGTGTAGTGACCACAAGTATAATAACTGTATGATATTCTTGTTGTTCTAGGCAGAAGGAGTCCAGAGTTTTTTTGGCGCGAACGCTCACAGCGACCCACCAGACGGCGTGCATGGTCCTGTGAACACTCCCGAGAAACTGCTACAGTATGACCCTGATTTATATCATCTGATTGAGCTCCTATTTCCGTGTGGGAATGTCTTTCTGAAGCCTTGTCAGTCAAGTCGTAGTGAGTTTCACATGTAATCTGTCAAATTCACTTAATGATGAAGTAACAATAAGGAAATGACAAACACGTTTTTAACCTGCTGGCCGAATTGAAGTATTGAAACAAGTAGGGCAGAACCATTTCAGCAACAACTGTGCCAGGCTGGGTAAAAGTAACAGTTGTCCTATACTGGACAATTCAGGAAAAGAATTAGCATTTTGATAATGCATCGGGATGTCTTACAAAGTCTGGTGTATTCTTTGGTACATTATGTTTATATTACTTTATTTCACAAATGATATCATGGACAGATGGAAAGAATCCTTCTCAGAGCTTCTCGGTGTTGGAGAAAGCCATGACCCCGAAAGGATTACTGCTGACACATCCATTACCTTCAGGAAAGTGGACCAGTCGAATAAACTTGTGAATTAAAAGTGACCTACTTTATTTGGGGAGACTAAAATCGAACTAACCGGTATTTTATAAGGTTCCCTGGGGAAAATTCAGCTACCATGGCAGGCATGAGAGGCTAAGAACCAGGGAACCAGACCTCCGGGGCGACCCGGGGTCCCCTGGGAAGACAACATCCGACACTCCCTAATTGACGGAGGACTGGACTGGAACAAATGAAGACAGAAAACCACTGATAGAGACGTCTGGCCATCTATCCAGTAAACCTCTACACCCCAAGGTAGAATAGGAGCGACTAAGAAAATAAGTATTCTTTATTTCGCGGACATTACTATTTTTCAGATAAATTACCTCCGAAATTCAGAGGCAAGGATCGTTTTCTTAAAATAATATCCAATAAAGTCTCAGCTGACAGGCCAGTCTTACAAAGATATATGTTAGATGCCGTAGCAAATTTGTTATTTTCTGTTGTTTTTTCGGGCAACATTGGTTCCAACTGTGCTTTATAGGATTTTGAAGGTCCGTTTTGTTTCGTAACTGAATTCTACACGTTTTCATTGTAATTTGCTTTGTAATTTGACAATTGTCCAGATTCAATGTCAACTTGAGGGGGGAGGGGAATGGCATGTGGGTGGGTGGGTGGGTGGGTGGGGCGAGGGGGAGGTTGATAACTGTCTAATATTCATCATCGAAAATGTATAGTTGGGTGGGGGGAGGGGGAGGTTGATAACTGTCTAATATTCATCATCGAAAATGTATAGTTGCCAAGGTTGCAACTTAGAGTCAGACAAGTTTGGGGCATTCTATAATTCCTAAGATAGGGATTTCACACTACAGATAAGTGATGGTACAGTCCCCATTACATTTAGGCATAGATGAAAAAGAGATGCTATAAAGAAGCAATGGATATTCTTAGATGGTACATACTGAGAAATTTATGTATCAATTGCTTCCCGAACATTCATAAAGAAATGACGGAATTCACTCAAGCTAGGACAAGTTTGAATGCAATGAATTATGCCGTCAGAAAAGAAATACGAGTGCAACAACTGATAGTGGAAAACTGGAGAGAACAATGCAATCATCAAAATAATGTTATTTTTCACTCTTTTCAGCCACGATATCCGTGCACACTTATGTGTGTCCCGCGGCTATTGTCTATTCTAGTTACGTACTAAATCATTTACTCAGTTTCATAGCAACAATTGTCAAATGTTATGTATTCTCAACCTTACTGTATGGCACAGAGACATGGACAATGAACAAACAACTTGAAAATCTTATCAATTCTTTGGAGATGTGGATATACAGAAGATTAGGTCGTATTTCATGGAAACAAAAGCTATCAAATACAGAGGTACTGAGGAAATTGGGAATAAAAAGAGAGTTGGTAGGTGAAATAAAAAAAGAGACAAGTGAAATATTTTGGCCACATTAAAAGACATAACAGAATTGTAAAGATCATCCTAGAGGGAAAGGTTCAAGGTAGGCGAGCAAAAGGCAGACAGCTTTACAAGTGGGAGCATAACATCAAGAGATGGACGAACAGCAGTATGAGTGAGTGTACATCAAGGGCAAGAGACAGGGCTTGTTGGAGATCCATTGCAGCCAACCTTCATTGTGGAGACGGCACCTGATTGATTGATTGATAGCAACATAGCGATGCAGATCATGCTTTATTAAAACTCATTACCATAGATAGTAAAATTACATATACCAAAACTTATTCAGTGTGGAGTGAGCAATAGATTTGGACAATACATATTGTTAGGTGGTCAAAGAAGGCTGGGAATAAGGGGGGGGGGTGGGGAGAGGGGGGGGCGTATTGGGAGTGGAGGGGGGAACGACACTCTGAAGGGTCTTTCAATCAGATTGTAACTGGCACCATCATTATCTCAGGAGCTCTCTATTTGCTAAAGGAAAAAGGAACGAAGCAGTGAAGGGCAGGTCCCTTTTTCTGTACCATAAAAAATCTTTGATGGCAGATAATAAACAGTTTGTGACTGACTTAATCATTAATTCATTCTTGCAATCATTCACTGACAAATAAGATATGATCCTAATCGAAAGTGTCGAGGAAATTAATGAAAGTGTTATAAGAAATCGCATAACTAAAACATTACTTTAATAAGTTTGAGATAGTTATTCACATTTACGTTACAGAGCTTAGCAAACCAACTTCTGCATGTATTAGTTTTGTGGATACTTTTATATTTAGTAGTTTTTAATTGTATCCTTGAACAGAACAACACTCCTGCCTTTGTTTTCATCAAAGCAAAATAATCTACCCCTAGATCGCCTATAAATGACTTAGAATCACTGTATTTTGAGAGTGTGACTGTGTTCGTAATCCCGAGATACTGGACTATAAGTGTGACCACAATAACTCAATTCTGTTCCATTACTCACAGCTACTGAATCAGAACAAACTTTAAAGATGGACTGTGATGTGACAGGAAAATATGAGTTCAAGATGAAGTCATTTCTATCAGGTATGCATTTTTGTTTTGTTTAGGACAAGATACTCTTGTGCGAACACCCGCATATGTATACTCAGTGATTCAATGAGTATGATCCGGAGGGTTCAGGCAGGTTCAGTGCGAAGACAATGGCTTGAATCAATTCAGAAGTCTACTTTGCGTGGAGTCACCTTTATTTTTGTTCCGGGACACGCAGGCGTCGATGGAAATGAAAGAGCTGACAGGTTGGCTGGATCCGCTATCACTACCGACGGTCGGCCTATGGATCATGCTGATATTATTAATGCCCTCAGAGAAATGGGAAGGATAGAGGACTTTGGTGGCAGTGAATCCACATCACTCGCCAGAATGGCAGACTTGGGAATTAAGATCGGCACAGCAAAAAAACGAGACGCACACCGGACACGTCAGAAGACTTGTTAATCAACATAGAACTGGTACTATTAGCCATCGGACGTTGGGGTTCATACTGAGGGGAGGATCTGAGCACCTATGGACATCTCCGGAGTGCAATGATGATAACCTAACTAACTAACTAACTAACTAACTAACTAACTAACTAACTAACTAACTAACTAACTAACTAACTAACTAACTAACTAACTAACTCTTGTGCGAACTAACAGATTGTAATTTATCATCTATTGCTTTTCGTCATCATCAAATGCTTTACGGACCGGCGTGGGCGATCATGCATGTCCACAACAGTAGATCCCCGTTAACATGAATCAGTTGGTATGCTGGCATCCTCCCATGTTATGGCAACAGACAGCCAAGAGTCCTTTCCTTTTATCTGTATCTAGTCCTCTTCCCTCACATCTGTCCAGTTATCACAACATGTCTCGGCTTCTTTGTTCTCATAACCTAGCCAACAATGATTACTGTCTCTTTGTGATGTTTGTGATCAGTTATCTTCTGGTCTTCCTTCAGTTTTTCCCACTTTCGCAAAATTGAATCATGTCTGTCAAATTTCAAGAATTCTTCTGTGAATTGCTATTATGCAATATAAAATGTACGCACACTTAATATTCTATGTTGGGACATTAGAATAGGAACTTCCTAAAGATTCAAGTACAAACTAAATGATTTGGTTTCCCAGCATAACGTGCAGTTGTTGTGATCGCTAATAGTGTGTGCCTCTTATCATAATGGTGCAATTTAGCAATTTCTTTCTTGTAAATCCATATGTGATATTATGCCACTTAAATTTACACACATCTCATGCTGATATACAGTTACCCCCGGCCCCCCCCCCCCCCCCCCCCCCCCATTTTTTTCTCTCTGATATGTTTTGCAGTAATGTGTTATTTACATACAAAATAATTTATTTGATTAGGTCTCAAATATTTCATGAGGACCCACTCAAATCTTTTTCAAAACATCACACTGAAAAACGAGAAAAAGCAGAAGCAGAAGAAGAAGAAGCAGCAGTAGTAGAAGAAGAAGAAGAAGAAGAAGAAGAAGAAGAAGAAGAAGAAGCAGTAGTAGTAGTAGTAGAAGAAGAAGAAGAAGAAGAAGAAGAAGAAGAAGAAGAAGAAGAAGAAGAAGAAGAAGAAGAAGAAGAAGAAGAAGAAGAAGAAGAAGTAGAAGTAGAAGAAGAAGAAGAAGAAGCAGTAGAAGAAGAAGAAGAAGAAGAAGAAAGAAGAAGAAGAAGAAGAAGAAGAAGAAGAAGAAGAAGAAGAAGAAGAAGAAGAGAGCAGGAAGAAGAAGAAGGAAGAAGAAGAATCAAGAAGAAGAAGAGAAGAAGAAGAAGAAGAAGAAGAAGAAGAAGAAGAAGAAGAAGAAGAAGAAGAAGAAGAAGAAGAAGAAGAAGAAGAAGAAGAAGAAGAAGAAGAAGAAGAAGAAGAAGAAGAAGATGAAGAAGAAGAAGAGGAAGAAGAAGAAGACAAATAACATTAAAACTAATAATTTTATGATGATGATGATGATGATTACGATGTCGATGATTACCGTGGCGATGACGGGGAGAGTGGTAAAGATGATTAGTTTAAAAACAGCAATTATCCGTGACGTCATTCTTGTCTCTTTTTAGACAGTTCTTTCCAAGACAACTCAGCTCCACTGACTGCAGCTCCACTGAATTCTCTTCCATCTAGAAAGTCTACAACTGAAACTTGCAGTGACAGCCACATCTACTGTCAGACGTGGTCGAGGACAGGGAAGTGTCAGACACATCCAGCATACATGACTTATTATTGTAAAGCTAGCTGCCGTTTCTGCAGTCAGTCGTACTTGAACCACAGGGTCGTTAAGAGAAACAGAGGCAGCGTCTAATTAGCATTCAGTCGAGTTTGAAATCATTTGCAGATAATAATTTCGGGATATTGTTCTTGTAGAAGAATTCAGTTATGTCATACTCTTCCAGATTTCTCGGTAGTGGATTCGATATACGTGTTGGCAGATGAGATGCTAAGTAGAATCTATGTGTACACTGACCTCGCTAAAGAGTAGTTAGCAATTAAAATGTTAACTTCTTCACAAAAACGATGCATTTCGAATTGTTTATATTCTTTATATTCCGTACACAGCCGATCGCAGAATGTCCCTTCTGTTAAAGCCACACTAATAAACCGGTCCTCTTAATATTTGTGCAAACAGAATGAAATGGTCGTGAGCTAGCTTTTGCCCATTTAAAACGGACAGTTACTTTTGATTTTGTACTTCGGCTAAGAGGATTAAATTATTTTATTAATTTTAATCAATTGGTACGGCAGTGTGCACTTGACAAAATGCGGCGAAAGATTGTCAGACAATTATTTGAACGAAATACAGCGAAAATATCAGGCAATAAATTGTGCAATCAATTTTTTATGTAGTCTCTGTTCATTTGTTCCAATTCACAGCAGAACAATTATACTTCGATATTTGGAATATAATGAAATGTTCAGCGAAAAAGATGGGGGAGGGGAAGTGGGGAGGTGTCTCAGTAAAAAAATGCCTTCTTCTTTGTTGGGGAGGGGGAGGGTTTGCCCAAGGTGGCCTACCCTAATGTGGCAGTGGTAGACACAGCTATACAAAGGATAAGTTTAGACAAGAGTCAATGAACTTGAAGTTTCTGTTAAACGTTTACAAGAGGGTATCTAAAGTCAATGACCTAGAAACTTGCGGGCAAACGTGGAGGTAAAACATACAAAGAAATGCTAAGCTTGGCCCCCAGTCATAAATTTAAATAGGCAGGACCTAAGGGACAACGAATAAAGATACAATAGATTTCCTGGGGTTTTTCCATTCAATTATGCAAAGTGACTTGAAAACTTCTATTTGGCTGGAGATACAGTTTAATGAACTAAGACCGGCTTGGTTTGTTTGGTTAGTTGAGGATGTGTTCTGTGTAAGGGCAGTCGGGAGAAAGGCTCCGACGAGAGAACAGTGCTTTATGTGCGAAGTCCCACTTGTGAGATGTCACTGGTTTGGAGACAGGGCAGACCAATGTACGCTTTGTGACCTGAGGCAGACAATGCACCAACTATTGCTAGATGATTTGTAAGTAGCTTAAGGTATGTTGCAATAATTAGATAAGATACAGTATGATTATAGCGCAGATGAACAGCAGGCCAGTTCCGGAATGCAAGCCCAATATCGGATGTCACAGGTAGAGAGCTGTGGAGTGAATGGACTGGGTAGCCCTGTGATGTCCTTTCCTAGCAGCTGACTGGGTCTGCAATGTTTAGATTGAGGAAAACGCAGAGAAGCCAATTTGGATAAAAATCAAACCAAGCTTGAACATTCCTAGGCCATCTGCCGAGAAGGGAGCACATGGGTAAAATAGAATTTACATGCAAAGGGGCGGAACAGAAGTATCAGATGTTGAAGTGAGTGGGTGACGCAAGGCCAGGTCTGTAGCCAGACTGTTGTTGTTGAAGAGGAAATGCATGGGTATTCATGTGGTTAAAGTAAATAGTCCATGTATAGTTAGTTATTCATAGTAATATGTGTTGAATGAGAAGTACCTGTGGGTTAGTGGGTGGAGGTTTATTCAAGGGTATAAGAATGCCTGTCTGAAGTGAGAACTATTCGTATAAAGAAGGACAGTTATTTGCAGTTTAAAATAAGATTTCTGTTGTTTCATTCACGTTGATATGCTTAGGAATTGAACCTAATGTTTTGTTAAAATATATTTAACAGGTGACAGAGCAGTTTCTGTCATGGTTGTACTGGGTTGGCTATAGGGTAGATTGTCCCTGGACTGCAGTCAGCAGTATGGCTAGATGGTAGTCGATATTTGGCTATAGGGTAGATGGTCTCTAGACTGTAATCGGCAGCATGACTAGATTGTAGCCGTTATTTGGCTTATTATTTGTGGAGTAGGCGTAACTAGTTGGCTAATTGGTAATAAATAATTAATAGCAATGAAGGAGACTCTAGGAGTCACCTGTTAGTTGTTCGTCGAGTAGAGTAAATTCTGCTGTCAGCTGCAATGAACGATAGACTGTTTTATAATTTAGTATAACATCTTTTGATTGTGTAATATGAAATATACGACTTTATAATTCTGTTCCTTAATAAACATAATTGTTAGTTGTTATTCTTTTATTCCATAGTTAGTTTGTTGAGTATAGGAGTGGTCCTATTATTGTTAGTTACTGTAGTCTTTTTTTTCAGTTTTTTTTTGCATTTGACCTAGTCGACAGACAATTATTATAGAAAATAATGGCAAGATATGGAGTAAGCGAACACCTCATCGAAGTGTGCAAAAGTTTATACAGGGATTGTAGAAGTGTAGTTAGAATAAATCAGGGAACATCTCATCCTTTCACAGTGACATCTGGAGTAAGACAGGAGTGTGTCTTATCACCACTGCTGTTTATCACCTACATCGACAGTATATGCAAGAGTGCCAAGCCCATGAATGAAGATCTTAGTAAGATCAACGAATTACTCTTTGCAGATGACCAGGCCTTGATAGCAGATACAGCCATGAAATTGCAACAACATCTAACATCCATGAATGAAGAATGTAAAACAAATAATATGAGAATCAACACTGAAAAGACAGAAGTAATGTCAATATG